TGTAAAATTATCACTTCATGTACTTTTTTGCCCTTTATCCTCTTTCATTTTCCTTAAAAGGTCATTTGTTGGTTCAAAGAGCATTCAAACAATAGGCTTTTGGATAAAAAGACAAGACAGAGATCACAAGATATTATTTTGAAGTATGAGAAACATAAATTTGTGGAAATATCAGTGCTTATTAATCCATTTCATTTATGTATTATTAGATAGGAGTGCAGAAAGGAGAAAAAAAATATTGCTCCCTCTGTGTCCTCTTTGAGGACAATCATCTTGAAAGAGATTAAATCTAATTTGAACAATGATGAATTGCAGTCTGTCTGTTTCTACAGGCTGACATAAGGGACATACAGTACTTCACCTTCATTTGTCCTGCTTCTGTCATGCTTGGAGAACACCTTCAGAACCACGGATAGCGCCACAAAAAGAGTAGCCTATTTTTCAGAAAGTTTCCAACTTTTCAGCATGATTACAGTTAGAAATAATTTACTTTATTTATCAAAGTAGGTGAATTTGTAAATAATCTCTAGCCAAACAGTTTAAAGCTTTTAAATAGCTTGTTGGGTTTACCCAGAGTCCTCTCAGGCTCACTTGTGTTGTTTTAACTACCCGCTGTTGCCTCAGCTTCCAGTGAGAAACAGCAGCCTGGTGGCTCATCACACAGTTATAGCTCCCGGGTGCAAACACAGTGTGTTAACCCTTTGCATGAGAATAGCTGCTTGAATGCAGTGCAGCAAGTACTTTTAATTACAGCAACACAGCAGAGCTGGAAACATGGTTTTCAACCTCAAGGCGAGATCTCTAATAGAGCTACTGCAGTCCCACTGATGGGTATATTATGTAATTGGTATGCTGGCAGCAAATGAGATGCTGGTGGTATGTTAATGAGGAGAGAAGGCTAAAGACATCAGCAAGATAAGGAGGGCAGAAGATATTGGAGGTTGGAAAGAACTTTGAGCAGTGACTATACCAAGGAAACAATGGCCAGCTCTATAAACTGCTCCCTTTCCCCATTCCCCACCTCTCTGATCAGAGAGGCATGAGGAAAGGACTAGCTCTGATTTTGTCCTGTGACTCCTGTAAATAGAATTTTTTTTATCTCAATTTGGGTATTCAGTTAAATAAATTAAATAATGAATGCATCCATTTTTATATTTAAATAATAAAATATATTAAATCTGTTTTTTACCTACTTTCTTCATGGTTCACTGTGACCAATATATCACTATTCCTTTATTAGAATATTAGAATATTATGATAGAAATTGTGAATTTTTTAGATAGTAATACTGTCATGATCTTAGCGCTGATGCCTGGTCTGTTTATTCATTTCGCTCACCTGGTTATCTCCGTGCAGTTCTCATTACCGGTCATCTTATCCTCTTGCTTCAGCCTCAATTTAACGTGCCTTAAAACCAGTCATTAGTGCCACATTATTTGAGCCTTTGGTGAGAGTTCTCTAGTGTACCCAAGTGTTTTAAATTGCCTGATCCTGACCCGCTCTGCCTTTGGAACTCTGAGCTTGCCTGTCCCTGTTCTGATCTGTCCTTGCCTGTCTGTGACCCAAACCTGGAACCCTTTCTCAACACAGGCTTCGGCTTCACCCTCTGGATTATCCTGCTTTCCTTCGTCTGCTCGGTTCTGATCTCCTGCCTGTTCTCTGCCTTCTGGGACATCAATGTCTGGGACTCTCTGTGCGGCACTCACCACGTTGGCAGCCGACCAGCACCTCATCCTCTGAACTAAAAGACCAGGTCAGTGACTCACATGTTCATTATCATCGTCAGATAGATGTGGTCACTAACCTGTGTCCTCTTCCTGCAAAGGTTCCTGCCTGAGACGCCCACGCTGTTCACTGCAAATCCATTTCCAATAAACGTTTTAAGAAATCTGTCTGGCTGCCTCGAATACTTGGTCCTACTGTTCTGATCATGACAAATACATAGTAGTGTACCTTTTTTTTTTTTTACAAACCAAAATCGGTTTTTTGTATAGTAGCATTAAACTCCCCTTAGTCACCGCAAGATTTTAGACGTATT